AGCACCTTGAAGTGGGTGGGCACCATCACATGGTGCTTGCCAGTTAACTGGTACTTAATGTAGGATTGCCCACCTGCATCTGCCCTATGGACAGAACCAGGCAGACATGCCCTCACAAGGTGAGTGGGGCCTGGTCAAACCCAAAGCCACCATCTCCCGGAAGCCTTTCCTAACCCATCCTCTTCCTGGTGTCTGAGTGAGGCCTCTGTGCCTTACCTGACTTCCCCTAGAGGCTGAGAACCACCACGAGGTAGCCCACCCTTACCTTCTGTTGTTCTCATGCCAGCCCTGGGTCAGGCAGAATAGGGGCCAGTAAGTACGGCTAAATAAATAAGAGAGGAAACAATACGTGTTGGCATGATTATACAATAGGACCCCCATTGGCGTAGTAGCTATGTGTGGGACTGCTAACCGCAAGCTTAGCAATTTGAAACTACTAGTTGCTCCACGGGAGAAAGATGGGGTACAGTCTTGGACCCAGAGGAAGAGCTCTTTTCTGTCCTATCGGGTCACTGTGAGTCAGAATCCACTCGATGGCAGTGAGCGTGCGAGTTTTTTGATGTTTATACAATGATATGTTTACACAATGAAATAATATGCACAAATGAGAAAGAATAAACTATTGACTGAATCTCACGAACATAAGTGCTAATGCCCAGGAAGGCAGCCCCAAAGAAGTACAGATGATAGGGGCTCGTGCATACAAAGTTTGAAAGCACCCCAAAATTCCTTGGGTCAGGTGATTTGTGGCACCCAGGTGGCTTAGTTCTGGGAATGTTCTCGTGTAAGATCTGGGTGTTGGTTATCAGAGCGTTCGCTCTGTCAGTTGTGTTTTGCTCGAAAGCGTGTTTATGAAGCCATTCCTATGTAAAAGGCATTCTTAGGCCTAAAGGACATCTTCCACAATGGAGCTATGCCAACCCCTCGGGTAGTTGTCCCTCATTCACAAAGTGTCCTCCTACAGCACCCTCACTGTATTGATGGCAGTATCAACCACAACTGCATCTTACTTGGCGCCAACATACACATTGCCCCTCCTGCAGCCTGGCCACGTCCGTAAACGTCCATTCCTTCCGCCCCTGCTTTGACTGGCTCAGCGCACAATTGGGTGAGCTCAGGGTCACGCGTGTGTTGTGTTCCAGGGCTACGGAACACCTGGAAACCAACATCAACAAAACTCGATTTATCAAGTGACTGCTGACTCATAACAACCTTACAGGACAGGGGAGAACTGGGCCTTTGGGTTTCCGAGACTACCTATTTTTTTTTTAATCGATAGTCACTTGTTTAGTACATTTGTTGACTCTCCTGTTTGTTCATTCTCATATATTTTGTTTCTTTTTAAAGATTTTATTGGGGGCTCATACAACTCTTACCTCGATCCATACTTACATCCATTGTGTCAAGCACATTTGTACATTTGTTGCCATCATCATTCTCAAAACATTTTCTTTCTACTTGAGCCCTTGGTATCAGCTCATTTTTTC